GAAATTTTTTCATCAAGGTTTACATAGTATCTGCCAGATAAGAAATTATTCTTACAGATCTGCTACTGAATTTTTTAAACAATCTTGGTCATTATCTAAATTTAATAGACATTTCACTTCTTCTAGTATATCTAATAATTCGCCTTTCTTTTTTGACTTTAATCTCGAATATTTTTTTCAGTTACTTTTGCCAAGCTGTTCAAGAAAAGTTTCTATCTTCACTAAAATTTCTGGTATAGTCATATTTTCTTCTTTATTTTAAGCTTCAGCTTCCTGTTTAGTAATAGGTATCAGTCTAAATAATAGAAGAATACTATTATCAATAAACATATCAATAATAAAATTTTGTCGAGCTTATTTAGCAAGTAATGTAAAATTTATTAAATCTTCATTTAATTCATATTCTTCATCCAGACTTCGACAAGCAGATCTCAAATTTAATGGATTTACAAATTCGAGGCTTCATAGAAGGGTCTGAAATCTTTGGCATTCCATAGTTGATTCTGGACAAGTTCTTGGTCCTGAGAGTTGGTTTTCATTGTACCTGATTACTTTAAATAAATTCTTCCTAAGCTAATATTGTTATTTGTTAAAGATCACAAATTATAGTACTATAATTAATTAAAATTCACAAAAAAATTATCTCAATAAATTTCTTACAGTTACGTGCTGCAATTTTCTAATAGTGATCTTGTAGAATGGGAGGTATCAGAGATTTTAAGACCTTGTTTATCTCCTTGATAATCGCATCTAGGCCTTGATGTTGTTCACAAAGACCTGACCAAGAGACAATACAGTTTTTCTCTATGATATCACGTATTTCAGGATGAAGTTTCATTAATTGGATTTCATCAGCAGCTTCTATGAGGTGATAAATGGGATGACATCTTGCAGACCAAACGGGAGAAAATACTCTTCTAGCAGCCCTCTTTAAAATTGGATTGTTTGTTCTTATAGCCTTTCAGTAATTGATTATTGCTTGAAGATATAAGAACGTCTATTATTATTGATGAAAAAAAATAATAAAATAAATGTATTATTAACTATCATTAAAGAATAAAGGATTAAAAATTATAACGCCTGGCATCTTTAACTGACTTGTTCGTATTTTATCAAGTAAAGCAGATCTTGCTGCTCTTTAACCCACACAAGATATCTCTCGACTGATGAAATAGAATTGTTTTTTACATATGGCCATAGAAGCTCCATAGCCATTGCTTGCTGATATATAGTACAAATTAGATCTCA